CTTGAACTGTATATTCTGTCCTGCTACAGTGATGCTCGATTTCCAGGGTTTTCTGGCCATGTCCAGCGCCAGCTCTCCTCCCCCACGTGCACATTATGCTGTGACAGGACGTAACTAATGGTTTCTCATGCTTGGGATCTAAAGAAAATTTCTAATATTTGCCATACCTTATCTCTAGACACCTGATAACTCAGATCTGATAGGTGGTGCTTGACTTTTTCGGTACCGTTTATAAATTCTGACATGTAACACCTTTACATGGATGTTTCAGAAGGTGATGGCCGAATACTGGATGTTAACTCCTGTGTGCAGGATGTGGCTGGGGGGAGATGCTCATGTAAACCCCGGTGTACCCGCTGTACTTTTGGCGGTGGGATTGCTCATCTCTACGCCTGCAGGCAGCCGCATCCTCCCGTACCTCCCCCCGGCGCCCGTTCGCCCTGTGCTAGCAGAGGGCCGGCTGTCACTGCTAGGGCCGGCTCTGCCGGCAGAGGGCAAGAGGTGCCCGCGCTGAGCCGCCGCCGGCCCGGGGAGCGCCGCCCTCGCCCCGCAGCGGCCCCCGCTGCCCTGCTCTCCCTGATGGAGGTTCCATGAGCCTGCCCTGCTGTTGGTGGCTCTCTGAGCCCCCGGCGGCCGAGGCTGCGAGCGGGCTCTGCTCTCAAGGAATCCAAGGCTAAGGCGCAGCTGTGTCCAGTGCAGACCCCTCGCCTCAAGCCGGTGTGAGCTCTGCTCCGAGATCAGCGAAGGTGCCGGCCTGGCACAGGGACAGGGATACCGAGCCACCTGCACCGTGCCCCGGCAGAGCTCCGGGAGAGCCGCAGGGCTCCTCTCCGGCATTCCCTCTCTGCTCCCGGGGAGTCGCACCCCACACCGGGGAGCTGTGGGGAAGAGGCTGCGGTGGCAGAGAGGGTGTCTGCAGGGAAGGGATGAAGGTTAAGGGGTTGGGGCTGAGCTTGTCCTGCCTCGGGACAGGACCGCGTTTGGCCCTGGCAGAGGCATTGGGGGCTCAGCGAGTGACTTTCAGGGCACAGTGACAATAAATGCACCGGGAATTTTACGGCCTCCCAGGGGAAGGGACAGGAGGGCTCTGGAGGCCTGGCAGCGGTCAGACCCAGAGTGGCTCTCCCGAATGCACGGGCACAGCAGCCAGGCCTGTCCCGGGAGCACCAGTGCTGCTGCCGGAGGGAGCCGGCCGGGCGGGG